ATGCAAAAAGTAAGAAATTTCAACAACAAAAAAGAAGAAGTAAAAAAACAAAAAAAAAATGAGCGAAAAAAATAAGCGCTTGAAAAAAGAGTGAGTGATGCAAAAGAGGGAAAATAAAATTCACACTCTGCCAATCGCTTATCAGGAGGAAACTAAACTTGGTTTGATTTTGTCTCACAAGCAAATAACAAAAGATCTGCATATCTACCTCTTATTCATTTGATTAGTTGTTGTTTATTGGATTATCTTGTCACTTTTGTTTGATTATCTTGCCTGACTTCTTCAATCCATGCATATACTTGGGATTTCACATAAACTTTCGAGTGAATATTTGGAGAATTATGGAAATTGGAATTTATGTAAGCTTGAGGACAAGCATTGAATAAGTGATAGGGAATTTGTTGAGTGTTTAATATTAAATATTTTTATTATTATTACCTCTCATTTATCACATGGATATTACTGATTTATCTTTATTTTGAGTTTATTTAGGACATGAACCTCATTGGATTAATTAGCCTAAAAACTAGTAGATTTCAACGGTCCATTTAACATCTTATAGAAGACAAGCATAACTTCATTGAATTTTAATTTGGAATTGACATGGTACAAGTTTATCGAGAAGATGAAGAAGATTCCAATCAGAAGACCTAAATATTTATCTTTTGTGATAGACCTTTTTAATTTGGGATTTTTAGTTTGATTGTTCTATTCTTATTTTATTTAAGAATTAGTTATTTTATTATAACTCATTAGGATTTTTTTAATTTGATTATTTTAGGAATTAGTTATTTAATTTACTTAGAACTATTAGGTTATAAATACACCTTAGGTTCAATAGTTGAAACTTAGATTGGAATTTATTTTCCTTGGTTATTTATTGAAGTGTTACTTTTCTTTCATCTTCATCCTTTTTCTTTATTATCTTTCATTATTTTATTTTAACAGTTCTTAGCATGATCCAATCCATGCTTGGCTAAACTTCTACTTAGCCAAAGTTTTTTGTGAAAATCAATTCCATTCATGAGAATTTAATCTTGATCTTTATACATTCAGATCATATTATTGATTCTCTAGAAACTGGGAGTGTCAATCGGTCATTCTCTTAAAATTTATTACATCTTCAACTCTAAAGGTGCACGTTGATTTGAAGGTTGTTTTGCTTGAAGTTTGGAAGTCGAATTGATTGGTCATAATTTAACTTCTTGTGAACAAACTTAGTAGCGATCCGTTAAGGGGAATCAAGATCGAGTTCGATTCTCGCTAAGACTCTATAACTCGAGTCAGACTTTTCCAGAATTTAAAATTATTTTGGATCTAACAGAGATGGACGTGGCTAGACTAACAAAGATCGGATTTCAGAGATAGACATGGAAATTTTGATTAACCAGAGAGAATAGTTAGTTGAAGGGGTTGGGCCTTTTTTATTATAACCAACATACATCACGAAGGGAAAATTTTATTTCAATGATCGATCGAAATTGAGGTTAAGCAAAACCTGAGGCTGCATCTTCTTTATTGAATTTTATAATTTATTTATTTTCTCATTATTAATTTTTATTCAAAATTTAATTATTTATTCATTTTATTCATTTATTTTCATTAATTTTAAATCCCCTTTTTTATTTTCTTGTAGTTGATTCAATCTGAGGAACAACATTATCCAACTTCCTTAGTCTCTGCGGATCGACCCTACTTCTCTATATTACTTTATTTATTTATTTATTTGAGAACTAAGAATTATTTTTATTTGGCTAATTTGATGATTTTCACCTTATTAAAAGGGTTCGATTACTAGCAGATTTAATCAAGCATTTAGAAATTGGTACTTCAAAACCATTTAGGATTCGGGTGCATCAAGAACGTATTCAGGAATCTTTAAATCAAAATTATTTGAGATTTGGATACAACATGAGCGATTCCATTTCTCAAGATATCAAGAGTATTTTAAATATTTTGATTCCCAAAGAATTATTAGTAATTTAACCAAATAAGGGTAGAACGATTATTTGTGATATTCAAGATTATATCAAATTGTACTAAACATGTCTCAATATTGTTATACCTATCACTCATTCGGACCGAGATACTTCACAAATATTCACTTCTTAATTATGATTGCATTGTTTGAACTGATGTCCTTTAAAATCATCATTGAACGTATCTAGAGGAGATGAACAAGTATTCCAGTGGTATTTATTTTTTTTATTACAATAGTATCAAGAATTACTAATGGCTTAGGTCGTACTCCATAACCTTTAGGGCAGTAAAACATTTAGATTTATCGGTGTTTCTAGAATTTATCCCATGACATTTACTTAATTCTAGGTTACGAGGGTATTTAGGTCATTTTAACCAGTTCATATATATAGAGAATACTTCCGATAGATTGATCTTTAGATACTTATTTAGAAATCAGAATATCCGAATATATTATGGTCTCGAAGGTTAGGAATCAATTATCAAGACTTTCTAAACAAATCAAAAGATCAATTAGTGAATTTGTAGTTATATCAAGTCAATAACAAATTCTGAGGTCAATTCTACTATCCATATCAATTCAGGCCCACTTTTACTTATTAAGGGTCTTTTCGTAATTTCCTATTCAAGTATTTCTAAAATTAAAACTTTTAACGAGAATATTCAGAATTTAAGGATTCTAAGGTTAATTCCTTTATCGATTAATCACCAACCTTGAATTTATTTCTTAAAAAACTTTCAATTTCTTATACGATTTGAACAAGTCGTAAGCAATCATTATCCTTTTAATATTCATTATGAGTTTAGAATAATAATCAAGATATACATAACCAAATTATTACATTCATGCATCAATCTTACTAACATGTAATGTAAAGCATGGATAGGGTAGTAAAGTATTACCTTGGTTTTTGAGATACATTGGTCAATCATTTATCTCTCTCAAACTTGTATTCAATATCCCATAATATCTTGGATACATGGAAAAATTAATTCCATCAGAAACAAAATTTAATCTAGAAAAACAAATCAAATTAGAAGATAAAACATTGAAATACATCTTACTGAGTTCGAATTTGGCAAAACAAACCCAAAAAATGAACTCAGAACGTCAAAAATATCAAGATAAATGGTTTTAGAAAAAATCAATGCTTGATCAACAGTCGGTCAACGGCTCAGCTAGCTACTTGACTCACGACTCGGGCATAACTCATTCACAACTCGAGCATGACTCGATCATGGTTTGATTCAAACCAATCCAACCCATTTCGTAGACTCCCAAAGCTTGCAGATGATGCCCATGCACAGGGGCGGTGTATGGGGAGCGTGTGGCAGCTACGGTGGTCAAACGACCAAACTTTCCAGATTTGTAGATCGATAACTCAGGATTCTAATGCACGTCTTGTTTTGCGATGGAGAGCACTAGAGATACAATTTTTTAACGGTCGAAACCTGGGTCGCTTTACCTCCCAACACATCGATGATGATGGCGATGATCTTGACATCGATCGACAGGGAGGATGATGGGGAATGTATCGGTACTGGTCGTGTTGCTCATGGATGATCGAATGACAACAAATCATTGAAAAATCAATGAGGATCTATAGTTTTTCGACGTAAATTTTCAGTGATCTCTACGACAACTGGTGAGGTTCACGAGATGGCGACAAACATATTGATAGGGGCGGTGCACTTTATGGCCATCGAATGGTGGCAGATGATTAGAGTTTGACGATGACATGAAGCTTAAAAAGTTTTATGGTGGCTTGGTTTGAAATGAAAGGGAAGTTGATATTTTTTTTGGAGTGTGAATTTGATTCAACACCAATATAAATGTCAAGTTTTATAATATAAAACTCAATAGTACCCTAGCCTAAATAATAAGGCATAAGTAATCATTCTTTTATATGATTTGGGTTCTTAAACCCTATTTTTTCCTTTTTAAAGCCATACGAAAATAAAGGGTTGATTACGCTTAAAGTCATCGATCTCCATAGAGTTTAAACTCTAAAGCTTACTCTAAATTCAAACAAGTCCTTAATTTCCATAACTCTCCTTTAAATTTTGAATGAAATGTTTTTTATTGATCTCTTGGTTCTAAGGTTTTGCCTTTACTAATTCGGATCGATCTGTGTCGCATACCTAACTTTGATGGGTGAGTCTCCCAACAAAGATTTTATACGTACGCTCGAGACCTTGCTAAAGAAATATCAAGTTGCTTAGCACTTAACCAACCATATTAGTTTAGTATTTCATAATTTAATCTTTCAATTAAAATTGGATGTGACAATTCCTTTTAATTTAAGTTACCTCGCTCTCATTTGTATGTCTCAATCGTTTTATTATTATTATTGCAAGTGGAGATATTGTATGAGTTATCTCTTTGAAATATTTAAGGGCGGTTTTGAACATGTATAATATGACTGACCGTATAAGATTGTTAATTTTAAATTCCATGTCATCAATTTGGAAGAATATTTTATATTACATCATTTTCAAAAAGAAATTGTTTCTAAATTTATTTTATTGTTTTAAAAATAATATAATAATGCATGAATCAAGTGACTTCTGTAAAAAAGTAATTGCTATTATTTCTTGAGGACCTGAGTTCTAACACCATAGATGCCGGAGGTGTTGAGCGTTTAATGTCAAAAGGTTGGAGTTATCTTTAAACATATAATGTCTTGTACTTACCCCATATTAATAAATAAAAAAAGAATAATCTAACAATATTTTTATATTAAGATGTTTATTAAAACGTTGGGTAATCTATGTCAAATACCAATCATCTTTATGCTTCGGATCGAAAATGCCACTAACGTTTCAATTTTGCCAATTTTAGCACGGACGTTTATGTTTCACTTCAATTTTTCCACTCCGCCGTTAATCCGTTAACGGCACGATGACATGGCATGCTAATACCGTGACAGCGATGACATGGACGGCTTTTTTAAAGTTATTTAATCCACGTAGCATCTGTATTACCTGAGAAAAGTTAGAGATTCGCCACCACAAAACTCTCATTTCTTCACCACCACAAAACTCTCCCTCACTCTGCCATCCACCGTGCACAGTATCATCCATTGCAAGAAGCTCGACAACCTTGCTGGCGATTCGCTCTCCGATAACGAAAATCTTATAGCGTACCTTCTTGTCTTCTTAATTTTCTTAGGTTTCTTCTTGCTTTGCCTCGTAGGCTTTGTTTTCAGTATAATTTTTAAGTTGGTGTTGAACATCTCTGAGGGGGAATCATTAGAGAAGCTCCTCGAAGATGAAACAAGGGTTTCCGTTTCTCTGTCGTTAATACCAAAGTCTTCAAAGCTTCCGCTGGTAAAGAATCCGCTCTCGACCGACGAGGTGCTCATCCAATTTTTCGGCGTCGTTTTCCTTTTTCTGCATCGTCGTTTTTTCTTTAATGTGTTAGGAGGAACTGGAGGTGGAGTTAAATCTTCATCGTTTTCAAAGGTATTCTAGAATTTATGACGGGGGCATTTGTTATTGTCGTAAACTTTCGCTATAACGTGACATATGTCTTCTTTTTCCCAATGGAACTCCAATGTCGATGGCGGTGATGATTCAATACGGCCACTCCAGTGGAAAGTACCTAAGTAGCAACGGAGACCATTGAATCTTCCATGACCGAAGAGATTGGCGGCGAAAATAGCATAACCCCAAGTGGAAAAACTGATGCAAATCTTCTGAAAGAGCCAGGAGGTGTCGGAGCCGTAGTCGTGGGTCATGTAGACGGAGGCCTTCACTTTTTTTTACAAATGGAGGAAGCTCTGAGTGAAGAGTTTGTCGTTGGGCGTCTCGAAGTAAGACTTGGTGTTACGAATGCCCTGCGACATGTAATACTCTTCCTCCGGCATATCTCCCCAGAAATTCGCTGCTATTTTTTAACGATGCTTGAAAAAACTGATGATATTGCACCATATAAGATGTTGTGACTGAGATCTAGAACTTATAAGAACCTAATATTGTCGATGTTGTCCAGGATATTGTTCCTTATTGAGAGTCGATGAGAGATACTGGAAACATTGATGGGACTTGGCCGAATACGCTGTTATCGCTAGCGTCAAGAAAGTAAATCTTTCTGAGTGAACCCAGATCAGGAAACTCATCGAAAATGTAGTTTCGTTGGATTTCAAGTCGTTTGAAGCGTGTTAGGTTGTTAAAGATTGAAGGAATTGGTCCATGAATATGGTTGTTGTCAAGGTAGAGTTCTTTAAGGTGAGGGAGTGAGCCAAGAACAGCGGGTATTTCAACAGTGACTGAGTTCCCGGAGAGACCTAGTCGACCCAAGCGTGTTAAATTGGAGAACGATCAGGAACTCGAAGCAAACCAGAGAGGAGTGTATCACACCTGAGGCCGCAAGTGAAGTGGTCAGTGAAGATGTTGTCGCATGGGTCAATGGAGAAATCCCAGGAGCTCTATCAAGATCAGGAGCAATGGAAGGAGGGTACACACCATTTTTTAGATATTTGAGAACTTGTACATCTGCTGGGTGTGTTCTTAAATTTACTAAAAGCAACAACTTTGAGAATATGGTGATGAAAACAAGAGAATATAGATGGAGATAAAGGGTACTAGATCTCGATGCCAGGGGTTAAGTAATAATTTGTTTGGGGTTCAAACTTTGTTAATTGTAGTTTTAAAATTTTAAAACTTTTATAGAAAACATAACAGAAAAATATAATGTAGTTCAATGGTTAAGCATTCAGTTTAATTTCAAGGTGTTTGGGGTTTAAAGCCCTCTAGTTGCATAGTATTTCAATAATTTTTTTCAAGCAAAACGACGTCGTTTTGTCTTTATTGAGCATCAAAATAGTTGTGTTGAAACAACGTCGTTTTGGTAAGGCATCCACGTCATCACCGTCATGGCCCGTCCATGCCATGTCATCGTGTCGTTAACGGATTAACGGTGGAGTGGCAAAATTGAAGTGAAACATAAACGTCCGTGCTAAAATTGGAAAAATTGAAACGTCAGTGGCATTTTCGATCCCGAGTATAAAGATGAGTGGTATTTGACATAGATTACCCTAAAAAGTTTATATATTTTTAAAATTACAAATTAAGAATCTCATCTTAATAAAATACATAAAATATCTTAAATCTTTGAGCCGTCCTTGACTATATTGTGTTTATAATAAATTAAAGTTAAATAATAGATGTCTTTTTATAATAATTTGTTAACTTTCTAGTTTCTAGTAGCTTAGATAGATGTAAAGAAATGAAAGGCGTTTTGTTTGCCATCTTCTACTATTAGTCTATCACGTATATAAAGTAATGTCCCATTCATCAAAATTGTGGGTCCATATTTTATCATCTTCTTCCAATTTGTAACAAAATACGAAAAAAAGTAGAAATATAAGTCATATAACTTTTCTTTACTAAAAGAAACCTCCGTTCGAGGAAGGGGATATGCATTCTGTAACACTCATTTCTCGTGTACGTCCTCGTACACGAGTCACATATATCACATGACTTTTAAAATATTTTCGTATTCAAAACTAGTAAAATTTTGTTTATTTAAATCAATAGTTTAATAATATAGTTTATAAAACGTTCTTCAAATATATATATATATATATAAAATAACATTTAAAATCCATCAAACAATAGTTTAAGTTCAAACATAATATAATACTACAACCAAATACCAAGTATCTTATCAGAGCATCACAACATATCTAAATACATGTCGACTAGTAATATCAAAATAAACATCTAGAGATGTTATATTGTTACTGATGAGGCAATTCTTGACATATGATATCAGCTGCACTCCTCACTCCGGTCGTACACTATTACCTACGCGTGAAAATCATCACATGCCAAGTATTCACTTAGTGAGGCATAATAAAGTAAGTAAGTAAATTAAAAACATAGGTATATCGATAAAGATCAAATACGATTTGAAACCATATAATATATAAACACTCAAAACTGACTTGACAAGTCAAGTTTCTATCAAATAGCCTGCGAAACAGTATTTCGTATGCCTAGCATACTTATTGTTGAAAAAATTTGGATGTTTCGATATAACAAATTAAGTTAAATGAATTTTAAGATTTTACAAATGATTTTTTAAGTATATTCGATTTAATTACTCGAATATCAAAATATTACTCCAAGTCTTTCAAAGTTCAATTTCAATCCTTACTAATGTTTAAAATGGTGTTTTATACTTAAAATATTTTTGAAACAATTTTCACAAAATATTTCGAACCAAAAACGAGGTAAAAATCAAAATTGAGAAGGGATGCACCGATGCACTCATTGATGCATAGATGCACTCACCATATCGAATGCATTTTATGCATCGATACACTACCATGCATCGATGCACTCAGGTTTTATGAAAACATAGAATGCATTTTATGCATCGATACACAGACCATTCATCGATGCACTCAGGCCTGTTTAAAAACATCGAATACATTTTATGCATCGATGCACTACCATGCATCGATGCACTCATGTTTTATGAAAACATCGAATGCATTTTATGCATCGATGCACTCAGGCCTGTTTAAAAACATCGAATGCATTTTATGCATCGATGCACTCAGGCTTTTTAAAAACATCGAATTCATTTTATGCATCAATTCACTCTTAGTGCACCGATGCACTAAGGGTCCAATGGTCGAAATATTTGAATTTTACACATAGTGTACTGATGCACTAGCCTTATGCATCGATGCACTAGACGCTCCCAACTGTTTTATTAATTATTTTCACACTTAAACGGCTCCATTGACTCCACTAATCATTCCCAACGTTTAGAATAAATTGAAGGAGTATTTAAACAAGCTTAGAAGCCATTTATCAACAACAAGAAAACAACAATCAATAAGAATCAAGAGAGAATCAAAGAGAAAGCATCAAACCTAAAGTTTGAGCAATTTCAAGCCAAAATTTCATTATTCATCTATTACTTTCAAGAAAACTTATTTTGTTCAATTGTATTATTCTTGAGTGTTCTTTCTTTGTTCTAGAATTGTGCAAACATCTTGCCTTATGAGAATTTTCTTGTAAGTTTGCAAAATTTGTATTTTTCTCTTTGGGAGAGAGTGTTCTCAAGAATTTGGGGTATAATTCTTGAGGGATTTGTAAGGTTACTCTTTGTCCTCAAAAGAAATACAAATTAGTGAATTTGTGGAAAATCCTTAGTGTGGATAGCTAAGGTAGTGGACGTAGACTTTGGTTGAGAAAGTCGAACCACTATAAATTAATGTGCAATCTTTTTCAATTTTCTGCAAAAGCTTCCACCGAAATTTTAATTGCCAATTTACCCCCTCTTGGCCATATTCGTCGATCGATTAACTGAATAATTGGTATCAGAGCCTCACTCATTTGAAGGTTTAATCACCTCTTGAGTTGATTCGGGAAGAGTTACATCGATAATCAAGTCATCAATGGCCTTTACTTCAAACTCCGACTTCGGTCTTGATTCACTGCCCGTCAATAAGCCTCATTTCTTCAATGGAGCTAATTATGCCTATTGGAAGAATAGAATAATGTATTTCATTCAAGCAAGTGACATGGGAGCATGGAATATCATAGAAGACTGATACATCAAACCTTCCACTCATCCAAGATTATGGAGTGAATGAGAGACAAGAATGTTCCAGCTCAACTCCAAAGCTATCCATATTATCTTTTGTGCTCTTGGACTGGATGAATACGGGAGAGTTTCATCTTGCACAACCGCCAAGGAGATATGGGAAAAACTACAAGTCACTCATGAAGGAACAAACGAGGTAAAAGAATCTAAAATTAGTCTTCTAACTCATAGCTATGAAAATTTCAAGATGAAACCAAATGAAGATGTCAAAGCTATGACAGATAGATTCTCCACAATTATGAATAGTCTCAAATTATATGGAGAAATTATTCCAAATGACAAGCTTGTAAGGAAGTTAGTTTACTCTCTTCCAAAAGCTTGGCAATCAAAGAAGATGACGATCATCGAGGCTAAGAACTTAAAATCCTTGACCCTCGATGAACTTATTGGCTCTCTCCTCACACATGAAATGATGCTTAAAGAAGAGGAAGACCTTGAGAAAAAAGATGAGCCAAAGAATGTGACGGAGAAGAAGAAGAATGTGGGAGTTGCTCTCAAATCAACAAAAGATAAGAGTGATTTGGATGATGATGACGATGACGGGGAAATGGCATTGTTTTCCAAACGGTTCAAAAAAATGATGAGGCCTAACCGAGAAAGAAAATTCAAACGAAATGAAGGCTTCAAAAATTAACCAAAAGAGAATGACCCGATCATTTACTATGAATGTAAGAAACCGGGGCATGTCAAATATGATTGCCCACAATTGAAGAGAAAGGGTCAATCAAAGAATAAGCACAAGGCTCACATGGCTACATGGAGCGATGAAGAATGTTCCGATGAAAAGGAACAAGAAGTAACAAACTTGTTCTTGATGGCATTCGAGGAAGATTCTCAGGTAACCTCTATCTCATTTGATTTAGATGATTAAACTTATGATGAGATATTAGAGGAATATAATGGGTTGGCTTTGGATTATGAGAAATTGTTTTTAAAATATAAAAATGATATTTCAAAATTGAAAAATGAAAATAATCTCATATCCAAGACCAACAATGATCTTGAAAGTAAAATAAAAAATTTGCAAATCAAACTAGAAGAGTTTGAAAAGAAAAACTATGATTTGCATAATTTATTTTCAAAGGTCAATGATGATCATCAAAAGAAAATTGATGATCTTAAAGTTTCTTTTGATAAAGTTGGAACAAAACGTTTTAAAAATGGAGAAAATTCAAAAATCAACTTTGTTAGAAAAAGTTTTAAAAACAACAATCATAGAGGTCCCCAAAAAACCTCTAATGGAAAAATAATTAGAAGTATATGGATTCCTAAAGAACTCATTACTACTAAAGATAAGGATATCCTACACAAATGGATACCTAAGGGAACTAGGATTTTGGAAACTAATGAATATGGACCCAAAAGAATTTGGGTACCAAAAATAAAAAATTAATCTATGTTTGTAGGGAAAAGAGCATTGCTACAAGGCACGAGAAACAAATTCAAACTCATGGTACCTTGATAGTGGATGCTCAAGACACATGACTGGAGACAAAAGCCTGTTCATAGAGCTTAACACCAAAAATGGAGGAGAAGTGACTTTTGGTGATAATTCAAAAGATCATATTGAAGGTATATGTATAATAGGTAATACCTCTTCCATACAAATTAAAAATGTTTTATATGTGAATGGATTAAAGCATAATCTTTTGAGTATTAGTCAATTATGTGATAAGGGATTCAATGTCATGTTTTAAACTAATGGTTGTAAAGTTATTGACATTGCATCTAATCAGATTATGCTTGTTGGTCATAGAATATGAAACATTTACATGGTGCATTTAGATTCCATAGATATGACTTATTTATGCCTAGTTGCTAAGGATGAGCATGATAGTTGGTTATGGCATAGGAGACTAGGACATGCTAGTATGAGTGTTTTGCAACGACTAATTCGAGGAGATTTAGTTCGAGGGTTGTCTAAGCTTAAATTTGATAATGAAAAAATATGTGATGCTTGTGCTAAAGGAAAACAAAAGAGAATTTCTTTTAAATCCATTAATGATGTATCCACTAGTAGAGTATTACAATTAATCCATTTAGATCTTTTTGGGCCATCTAGAACTACTAGCTTGGGTGAAAAACAATATGCATTTGTATTGGTAGATAACTATTCTAGATATACTTAGGTTCTATTCTTAAGTACTAAAGATGAAGCATTTGAAAAATTCATCACATTTTCAAAAGTAATCCAAAAGGAAAAATGTTACTCTATAACTAGTGTTAGGAATGATCATGGAACTGAATTTGAAAATCTTGGATTTACTG